TCCACATGTATTATATGAGTATATCATCCCTAATGCTTTGTTTCTTATTTTTGTAGGTGATGTTATCCTTGTGGAAGGACCACTGGATTTGAGGACAAATCCTTTCGAAGGGGGAGGATATGATGGAAATCTAATCCCCAAGGATCCTTTTGGAAGAGGTAAAACCAAGAAGGGTGAAGGTTGATCCAAGGAGGCTCACACTTAAAGACCATTATGCCTTTAACTAGGTCTATGGTTAGGAGGCTAGAGGAGGCTTCTATAGAGGTGGTGCTTCTTAGACTTATGCTCAATATGAGTATTGAGTATGATTCCTCTTTTTAGTCTTATAGTCTCTATTGTACATACATTGTATAGTTTGATTTCCTATACCTTGTACATAGTAGTCCTTGTATAGGTGTATTTTGCCTTTGTATTTGTAAGGCATTTTCTTTCTTTTATTTTAGGTTATCCTTTTAGAATTTAGGGTATGTTACTTGGAGACTTTTTCTCCATTTGACCTAATTTTTAATATGAATCCCTCTAACTTGAGCGTCGGGGTATCTTTATAGATGTAATTCCATCATTGTGGATATTGGAGTAATAGGGATGTCATCCTATCTTCGGGGAACTTGTAAATTCTGGTAAGAACATTTGCTGCCCATCGTGGGGCCGAAGTCAAACTATCCTCTAGCCGCACATGGTTTCCCTCCAAGATTTAGCGACAAATGCCAACACCACCTCCATACATGCCATTGATGGTGGATTTGCTGGTGGTGGTCCCTCTAACTCATCACACGATATTGCTTCTTAGTTTGCTGACATTGTTAATTATTTGGTTTCTTTTATTTTACCTCCAAATGATTCTAGGTCCCAAATAGATAAATTAAAAAGTGATGCTAAATATTATGTCTGGGATGACCCTTACTTGTGGAGTTTTTACAGTGATAAAGTTATTCGTAGGTATATTTTAGATCATAAGATTTAGTCAGTGCTCCAATTTTGCCATGCCTCAGTTGTAGGAAGGCACTATGGACCATACCAAACCACCACAAAGGTGTTGGATAGTGAGTTCTACTAGCCCACCATTTTCAAAGATACACACAAAGTCTTCAACACTTGTGAGCAATTTGAGAGATCAAGATCTGCCATCACTAGGAGACATGAGATGCCCCAATAGCGTATTCTAATCTATGATTTTTTTTTTTACATTTGGGGTATTGATTTCATGAGTCCATTCCCTGTCTCTTGTGGTTATTCTTATATTTTGTTTGTTGTTGATTATGTATCAAAGTGGGTGGAGGCTAAAGCCACCAAAACTAACAATTCTAAAGTTGTTGTGAATTTTGTTAGATCTAACATCTTCTGCAGGTTTGGTAAGCCTAAAGCCAGTGATAAAGGGAGCCACTTCTATAACTTCAGCATGCGATTTTTGCTCCATAAGTAAGTGGTTGTGCATATTGTCCACAACATATCATCCCCAAAATAATGGATACGTCAAAGTGTTTAACAGAGATATAAAGCTGATTTTACAAAATATGGTGCACCCTAACAAAAAAGATTGGAGCGAGATGCTTGAGGATGCTCTTTAGGCTCATAGGACAACTTATCGGACACCGATTGACATGTCATCATATCAGATTGTGTTTGGTAAAACTTGTCATTTACTTAGGGAGGTTGAGTACTGAGAATATAGGGCGATGAAGACTTGTAACTTGGCATTTGACCAAGTGGGCATGAAGAAGAAGCTTTAATTGCAAGAACTTGAGGAGCTTTTCTTATAGGCTTATGAGAACTCCAAAATTTACAAAGAAAAAGTAAAAAAAATTCATGATAATATAATTTTGAGAAAGGAGTTCAAAGTAGGCCAAAAGTGTTGTTATTTAACTCCCACCTAAAGCTCATAACTAATAAGCATAGATCTAGATGGGATGGTCCTTTTGTTATAGCTAACGTGTTCTCCCATCGCGCAGTAAAGATTCAAGATGAGACTACCAGCAAATCCTTCAAAGTAAATGGACACCAACTCAAGGAGTTTCATGAGAGTTCGAAAGTGGAGGAGGTTGAGGAGGACATCTCTTTGGCCAAACCTACAATTTTAGATGTCCAAATTATTGGACCTTAAGGGAGTCCTAAATTTTTTACCCCTTGTATTGATTGGAATTGTCTTTAATGATGCATGTTTTTGTTTCATTGAGGACAATGTTGATTTTAAGTGTGTGTGTGGGGGGGTGTTATAAATTGTTATTTTTCTGTGTATGATTTTCTTTTGATTTGCTGTATTTTTGGTCATTTTGATGCTCTATTGTTTCTGTATTTTGCTTGCTGCTATTTCTGTTTACATATTTGCTGTTGTTTTTGTTTCTAGATTTTGTACTTTATTTTTTTTTCTATTTTGTTTACTATTTTTGTACCAATTTTTGTATTCCGTTACTGTTTGAATTTTATTTTCTGTATTTGTTTCTGCTCTATTTTACTATATATATATATATTATTATTTTTAATAATTTTTATTACTTTTTAATGTTTTTGAAAAAAATATTAAATAATTTGAAAAAAAAATTGAAAAGTTTTAAAACAATTGAGTGAATTTTTCTTGGTTTTCTTTAGGAAGCAACTTTGCATGCAAAAAAAAATTGAATAAAAAAAAAAAAGAAAAGAAAAACATAAAAAAATAGAAAGAATGAAATGAAACAAAAGAAAAAAAAATGCAAAAAATATATGCAAAATCAAAAAGAAAAAATACATTGAATGAAAAGAAAAAAAAATGAAAGTATAATAAAGTGGGAAGAAAAAGATAGAGGTTGGTTTTAGCATTGGGACACTTTTCATGCTTATCTTATTACTTATACCCCATTGTTCCTCTTTTCTCTTTCGTTCTTAGCCTTGAAATCCTAATTATATCCCACCTTTACCTTGATCACATTACAACCCAATAAAAGTTCTATTGATCTTTAATTGCATGTGTTTCAAGTTGTTAAGATTAGAGGCTTGTCAAAGCTTAATAGTACTAGTATTGCATGATGTGTTTGAGTGTAAACACAAACCTAAACACTTGAGAGATGAGAGTAAACAATATATTGTGATGGTTCTATCATTTTTGGATCATTCTTTAATTTGACTTGTCACCTTACTTGCTTTTAATGTTGCATATTTGTTCATGGATTGTTGTTTTGCCTTGATGCTTTAAATGTTGTATTCCTTCTTCTTCTTATACATTTGTGAATCCATTTTAAAATTTTGAGAAGTTTTCCTCATTGTTTGGTTGAGTTCTAGTTTTTGTTTCTTTGAGTTTTGCTCCGGAGTGCAAAGGTTTAAGTGTGGAGGTATTTGATAGTACATTTTGGGAAGCAATTTTGTATGCATTTATTTGGCCTTTTTGACCTTTGTGTGTGTCTTATATTCATGTTTTGGCTTAGATTTATGATGGTGGTTGATGGAAAACTTGTAGAGAAACCGGATTGATGTTGATTCCTCTTCAAGTTCCTCCCTAGATCTTTGGCTCCTTGATTCTTCTTAAGGTTCTCCAAGGTCTCCAATGGAGGAAGAGACCTTGGAAGCACCACGGTTTGGTGGAAAACTCTCTCAAGAGACGCCACTCCTTGGAGAAGAGATAAGTCTCTTCAATTCTCATCACACTCTATGGAAGGGATAAGAGAATTGGATGAATATCAAAGAGGTTTGGACTTTTAGAAGAGAGAAAGGTTGCTGAACAATTTTCAGAAATCACTCTCAATATATGCCAAAAGTTGATTACAAGTGAAGGAAAAAGAGTTATATAGGGTGAGAGAAGCTTGTGGTGCAAGCTAGGCTAACTACGGTTCAAGAGAACCATGGTTAGCTTAACTTGACCGGTATAGTTAGCCTTGGGAAGCTTGTGGAGCAAGCTTCTAACTTAGAAGCTTGGAAAGCAAGCTAAATTAGAAGCTTGTGCTACAAGCTTTCGAAGTGTACAAGTGAGACTAGTAATTATGGCCAAGGTTCTAAGCTAGGCGGCCAATAGCTTGTTTCTCCATGTTTAATCCAATCCAAAATTTTGGAGTTGGTTTAGTTAGGTTCACCATATGATGGTGAGGCCTAGCTAAATCAATTCCTTGAAAAATATGGAGCAAAATAAGCCCAATATGTAAAATTTGGCCTAGGCCCAGTCTTGGTCCAATTACTAGTTGCACCTACACACCTTGCTATTTGTCACCCCATTTTCACTACTGAAAAATACAAAAATGGATGACCCAGGTAAAATGATGCCTAGTATTCCATATATAGGTGACTAATTTTATCTCTAGGCTTAGGGACAATGTTACATGATTTTAGGAGATATTCTTGTTGATAAGTACTTGATGTATTGTTTTTGATAATGTGATCCTTGGTTTAGGAGGAAATGATATGTAGAGGTAATGTTATATAATATCATAGAGATATATTTTAGTGATTGTATGAAGATATTATCCATTAGGAATTTAACGGCCTATGGTTTCACTTTATGATGGTGGGCTAAAGATTCGACGTGGGTGAGTTGGAGTAGATCAACTTAGGTTTGGTTTGACCAAGGTGGGTAGCATAATAACTATTGCCTATTATTGATTATTAATAATTACTATTAATAATTAAAAAATATGTATTAATATTGATTAATGTTTAACCCACTAAACTAGATTCATTAAATAATTAGTCTAACATATTTTACTTATGGATAGCTTTCTATCTTCTTAAAAAAAATACATGTATCACTCTTTATTTATTTACACCTTTATTTGATAGATCAATTCTAACTTAAATATCTGAGTCTCTTTCACCAGTATTCTCAATATGTCTAGTGTTGTGGAGGACATGCAAATTCTAGTAAGAAATATGTTATATTTTAAATGAAAGATTTAGAGAAAAATATATTGACACAGAAATTAAAGCAGTAGATGTGACAATGCTAACGCAAGCAGAGGGATTTAGAGCCACCCATGTGTTACTCGTGAATTTGTTATATAAATAAACATAGCAAAATATGGTAACTATAGGTGTTGTCTCATTTGGCCAGTGCTCTATGTACCCGGCCCTAATAAAACTCTCTCCAATCATCAATAACGGATTTTCCCTCTGCAAATTTTTCTTTGTCCCTTCTCCATAGCTTCTTCTTCTCTGAGCCTGAGCCTGAGCCTCAAAACTCAATAAGCACCTGAAGATGTCAAAGGCGGTGGTTTATATCCTAATAGCCACCGCCATGTTGTTCTTCTTCATATTTTTGTCCCCATTGAACCTCAAGGAACCTGAGGGTCGCCTTAATCGTAGGTTTGGGTACAAACTACTCGAGCGAGCACCCAATTTTGACCCTCTTGTTGCAAACATTGAAAAGAAAACGCATCACGAACCCACGTTGTCCAATTTGGATAGTACCACATCGGTTAGTGATGTTGTGGAGACATACCAATATCTTACCTCGGGTGGTAAATTAAACACGACGTTAAGGTTGATAATTTTGTTCCCTTTGTTAGATAGAGAACCCAAGGACGGAGTGGTTGGTTTCAATGAGTTAGAGGCTTGGATTACTCAACGAGCAATAGAGAGATTAGATTATCTCACGCAAGCTGAGTTAGATTCCAAGGACAAGAATGGGGATTTGGTCATCTCTTTTAAGGAGTATTTACCTCAGTTTTCAGAAAAGGATATAGGTAACTAATATGTTTCCATCATTAATTCTCTTATGCCAATTCCTATAGGTTCTCGGAGATGTAAAATTATTTATCCCTTTTCGTTTTTTATTTAATATATAGTTGTAAAACTATAACAATAATTTAATATATCTCTCAAAGTTAACATGACCATTCAATTTTGTCACTAATATTATAAATTAATCTTTTACTCGGCAGTTAACAGCAGTCAATTTTCTTCCTGAGAAATGATACAAACTAAATTCATTAGTATTGCTATTTTTATGAAATTAATTAATCTTTTACTCGAGTTTTAATTATGATATCTGATGTAAAAGTATCTATACCATATTAAGTTGTTAAATTGGCTTACAGTAACACGAGGGACCAAAATAGCTATATAAATTAATTAATTAATAAACTTTTATCTAACAAACTTCAAGCTGAAATTTGTGTCTCAAATTTGTCATGCCTATGATTGGTTCCTTTAAAAATTTCATAAGTTCTTTTTTTCTTTTATCTTTTTAGATGGGTTTACCATGCTGTTGACAACCATCCATTAATTAATAAATCCTGATAAATTTGATATTAATATCTTAGTGTAAATTACTTGGATATCAATTTAACACAATACTTGAATGTTAACAGAGAAAAAAGAAATGGGGCATGGCGAAGCAGGATGGTGGATGGAAAGATTTGAAGTTGCAGACATTGATCAAAATGGTTTTCTTAACTTCACCGAACTTAGAGAGTAATAAATAATTGATCAGTTTTTTCTTTTTTTTTTCTTTCTCCTTTCTTTGTAACTTTCAGTATTTATTTGTGTGTTACGTATATTATTGAAGTTGTTTGCATTTTATGCACTAAAATAGATTACAACAAACTCATCTATTTTTTTTTTATTTTTTTTTTTTTTTGCAGTTTTTTGCACCCAGAAGATAGCAAAAATCAAGAAATGTTGAAATGGATGTTAAAAGATAGACTAAAGTAAGCTTTCTCAGAGAAATTAAATCGAAACATATTACTTATGTTCTACATGTAGTTCTTGTCCTTTGCTTACAATCACTTTGCTTTAAGAGAGGAAAAGTACTACTGCAATGGTGGACAATTAAGCCACTAATTTATCTAGAGGTCATAGTTTCAATTCCCATTGAATATGAAAGCGGAAGGGATTAAATTCATGCAAAAATGGGGAATGCGATTCCCAACATTTTATATAAGTTCCAAAATTTCGTATATTCATACAAGTGCAAATTGGCTTAGCATATATATTGTTTGTTTTATGATATAGGCGCATGGACGACGAAAATGATGGGAAACTGAATTTCAATGAATTTGAAGACCATGTATTTAGTACATATGAAAGTTATATGGATTTCGAATCTAAAGGGGGAGATTTACCTTCTCCAAAAGATAAATATGCTGAGCTTGATGTGAACAATGACCAGTAAGTTTTTCTTTGTAGCCTCACAAACATGTTTTTCCAAATAATTGAATATTTCAAATATGGGAAACTGAATTCATTGAATTTGAAGACCATGTAATTAGTACCTTCTCTAAATAATTCAATATTTCTTTTGCTTAAGAAAGCTTACTATTACAATATATTTTGCAGATTTTTGTCACCAGAAGAATTGATACCGATACTTTCTTATCTCTACCCTGGAGAGCTAGCTTATGCTAAATATTTCACGTGCTACTTAATGAATGAGGTTTGTTACTTTTTTATGAATTTTGATCACTGCATGAATACATATCGGAGTGAAATAAGAATTGCCTAAAATAAAGATAGAGTCATAGAGCATATAACATGTTTAAACATTGCCACGTATTAACACTGTCTAATTATAATATATGTTTATACTCCATTAACATGACCACAAATATGCAATAGTAGATTTGAAGTTAAGGAAAAGGTAGTTATGAATATGTCAAATTATTGGTTCTATTTGATGCAGGCTGATGACAATGGAGATGGAAAGTTAACACTGCAGGAGATGCTTGATCACGAATTTACTTTCTACAACACAGTTCATGCAGATGGTCACCAAGAAAGCGATGATGATCATGATGAGCTTTGATGTGTGAACCTAGCTAGTTAGATGAAAAGTTTGACATAAGAGGATATAAATGAAGCAGTGATCTTGTTCTCCTGAATTATGATGGTTTTGTAAAATATAGAACTCAAACAAATCTAAAAAGAAAGTTTCATCTCATAATAACATTTTAAATTAATTGGCCTAACATTGGACCTCTACCATGAATACCGATTATATTCATTTAATTTATTATTGGTCCTTATACATGACAAGAGCAAACAAGAAACTTTTAAATCTTAATTAAATAAAAAATTATAAAATGTAAGTTATTGGTACATGATAGTAAGAATAAAGAGTATAGTGCCGTCATTATTACAACAAACAAGAAATCTAACACCTAAAGCTCACAACAAAACAAAGAAAGAAAATATAGTTCTTCTTGTCTTGTACTTTTCTAACAAATCAAAAGAGCAATCCAGGCTTTTTGTAACAGTGTAAGGGACCCCTCATTAATTACAAAAATAGAACCGATCCTATATTAACTTATCCATTACGAGTCAAGTATATATTACCGGGTTCAAGTCTAAGACCATGTACATATTGTATCCCAACCCCTATCACTAGGCCGACAAAAGTCAATTACAATTACAAAATTGTAACAAGTACTCCTTAATCAAATTTTTAACATAGACAAATTGAGAGACTTTAACTGTATGCTCAAACTAGTCAAATCAATTTCATAAAGAATGTTCTTCTTCTGAGTTGCAAAGAGCATAGACCTATCATTTTGTTTGACTATGCATGAACCTTTGTCAAAGACTACAGTATAATCATTGTCACAACATTGACTTATGCTAAGTAGGTTAAACTTAAGACCTTCAACATATAAAACATTATGTATAGTGAGTATAAAGGCATTACCTATCTTACTTATACCATTTATGTTTCCTTTGCCGCTTCCAAAGGACATAGACCCTTCATGTGGTTGGAGGTCTAGGAATATTAGTCCTTTCTCCCATCATATGTCATGAGCATCCATTGTCCAAGTACCAAATTAAATCCTTTTTTTCTTCCCACCAAAAAGATCTGCAATGAGAATAATTTTTTATTTTGGTACCTAGATCTTCTTGAATCCTCTTACATTAGTCCCAATAGCCTTAGTTTCTCCTATCTGTTTGTCTAGAGGTTTTACTCCTTTTCCACTGGCATAGGAGGTAGACTTAGGCCTTTTTGGAGATGTCTTTGGACAAGAATTAAAGTCAAGACCACTTTTGTCTTATGGAAGTATTTTGTGTCTTAGCAACATATTCATTTTTGAAGATCCTTCCCTCTATTGTTGTATGTTCTTAACCTCTAATGTTGCGATCTCAGGTGGTGTGTAACCAATAATCTTGTCTTTAAGTTCCTTAACTTTTGCCTCAAACCACATTAGATTTTTCTTAAGTTCAAGATTTTCTTTTTCAAGAAGTTTTTTTAGAGTTCATAATACATTTCCTCTCTTTTAGAGTCAGATGAACAAGAATTGGATTGAGAGCTTACCTCAACATTTGTCTCAACGTCTATTATTAGGCAGATGTTAGCCTTCTCTTCGTTTGAACTACTATTGTTGTTGCCTAGGTCCTTCCAAATTTCCATTAGACTCCTTTTAATCTTTTTCTTCCTAGACCATCTTTTCTTGTGGGAGGGATAGTTTGCCTTCACATGCCTAGATTTGTTACATTCATAGCATATGACGTTCTTTCTTTTAAAAGATTCAAGCTTTTTGGATCTCTCCTTCTTTTTGTGGAAGGTCCTTAGCCTTCCCTTCTTCAACATATCCTTGAACTTTCTAGACATGAGAGAGATCTCATCATCTATCGATTTCTTAAAGCTCTCGTCTAAACTTTCCATGTTAGATTCAACTTTAAGAGCTTTACCACATTCCTTTTTTTGGCTAGGTTCACAACTCTTCAAGGCAATCGTATTGTTTTTCTTTGTTGTGATCCTTGTTGTTGCGATGAACTTCATGGACTCACGAGGCTCCAAGAAGTTCATCAAGCATCAAGATCTTCATATGTCGAGCTTTGGTAATTGTTGTGGCTTTGGGCTCCCAAATCTTGGGTAGAATTGTCCAAGATCTTTAGATTATTCTAAGTTTTTGAAAACTCAGTTCCCAAGGATTTCAACCCATTGAGAATTTTTTGTAAGAGTCCAAACATCTTATCAATGTTTTAGTTATCCTTCATGGAGAACAACTCATAGTGCCTTTAAAGAGTAGTTGCTCTTCTGAGCCTCAATTCTTCAATTCCTTCATGAGTTACTCTAATGGCATCCCACATTTTCTTAGCAATAGAGTAGCTACAAAACTTGTTGTACTTGGTTTAGGACAACGAGCATGCAATGAGATAACGCTCCTTGGTGTTGTTTCGTAGTATGTTGTAATCTTCCTGAGTATCTTGTTCCTCAAGCTTAGTGACTGCAACATCACCTTGTGTTGTGATCCTTCATAAGGGGTACTAGGTGGACTTAATGAACATTTACATTCGGTCCTTCTAGTATGGATAGTCTTCTCCATTGAAGGTTGAAAGCCTTGTAAGCGAAGCTCCTTCTAGTAGATATTACCCTTCGTTGCTTCCTATATATCTGGATCTTCTTCCTTTAGCATGGTTAGATACTCAACCCTGTCAAAGGTTGAGCTCTAATACCAAACTATGGAGAAAAGATAGACACTAGAAGGGGAGATTAAATAGTGTACATTAAAAACTCACACTTTTTCAAGTTTGTGATGTAGTATCTACAACAAACAAAAGGTTAGTAAAAGTAATCAATAAAAAATTAATTCACCTCAACCACTAAGGCCACGTCCAATTTTCAATCTAACCAGATTAAGTTTCACTAACTTTCAACAAAGTTACAAGTATTCTTTTACCAAGCCACTTTTGGCTCAAACAAGTGTTCTCTGACTAGCCTTTTCAATTCACTACCCAAGTATTCTTATACAAACAAGCCTCTCAAGGCTCAAACCCAAGTGTTCTTTTTTCAAACAAGTCTCCCCAGGCTCAATCCCAAGTATTCTTTTACAGTGAAGTCTTTCCAAGCTATACCTTATAACAGTGGTTATGATGGTATTACAAGGTTGCAGTTGTCGTCTCTTTTAGACATGATTACAACAAATTGTTTCAATACAAAAGACTCTTGAAGAAGATTTTCTAAGAGATGAATACCAATCATTTTTCTATACTTTATATATTATTTATATGTGTTTCTCTATCTTCTTCTAAGTTTTCGAGCTTCTTATATAGTAATTTTGAAAGAGATAACATTTACAGCTTCTTGAGTCTAATTCATAAAACTGTTTCATTTGATCTTTAGAGAGAGGAGGTATCCATTAGTGCATTAAATGCTTCAATTAATGTCTTTTACCTAAACACACTTTTTTTAGCACCTTTTCCGTGAAATCTAGGATATTTCTTCTTTGTTATGCTATTCTTCATGCTTTTATACACTTTTATCAGAATGTGAGTTCCAAGACAATAGCTTTAAATTTGTTAAGGTATAAAGAATTCATTTGAACATTTTAACTCGTCAGTCATAATAAATGATGATTGTTAGAAAATGTTTGTATGTTTCGTCTGATTAACTTCGTCTTACAGACTCTACTTAGTCTTACTAAGTCTGAAATAATGACTTTTACAACGCATTTTCTTACTAAAAATGTTGTATTTGTTACCATTAAAACTTTATAAAACATGAGGGATCATCTTTTGATTAACAAAATATTTCTATAATCATTCTTGCAAATTTGTTACTAGAGCTACCACAAAAATGCAAGGATCATGTAACTTTCACTACCCCTTGTATTATAGGGGAGTTTGTTTTTACAAATACGATGTTAAACCTTGGTGTTTCCATTAATGTCATATTGTGTAGTTTAACATATTTAAAGCAATGAATAATTCAATAGAAAATCATTCTATTTTATTTTTAGATGTTATTGATTTACTTGTTGAGGATTGCATAGATGCATATTCTAATTGCATGATTTGTCTCATTTTTTTGATTTTGCTGACTTACATTGTGCTTATGATGAATCATTTATGTGTGTTGTATGTGCATAGATCAATGTTGTTATTATAGGAACAGGAAATGTAGCTACACCAGTAGATGATTCACTGATGGAGGACCATGGATCAAGGGTCTAATTACTAGAGCAATGGTTAGGAGAATGGGGGAAGAATGGGCTAACATTGAAGAGGTAAAACCCAAGACACTTTTTATTTTTGTAGGCTTTTTATTTTGGCCATGTGGTTTAGGAATTATTTTGGGCCTTGTATTTTCGGCCACATAGGTGTTAGGAGTGTCAAATACATGTGAGTTTACATTACATGTGATTTAGATCACATTTAGAGTTTATTTGGTGCCATGTGACCGGCCATGTGGGGTGGCGCATATGGCATAACCAAATTCACTTCAAATTTGAGCCAAATCACATGAAAATGTAAACCACACATGTAGGCACATGGTGGATTTGGAATCTTAGGCTAACACATCCAAATTTGAATTTCAAATTCAAATTTGGCGCCTAGAGTTTAAACTAACCATACCATGGTTATGCTTAAACCATAGGTTAGCTTAACTTCCTTGGTACTCTACCTATGCCTATATATTTCCATTAGCTGTGTATTTTACCTCACTTTGAGCATTTTATGAGAGTTTATACTTCATAAATTCTCTCTAGCCGAAGTCATTCTTGTGAGGATTTTCTCCAATTCACCTTGAGATTTCCTCCTAGTAGCCTTAGGTCCTTGGACATTCTATCCGAGGAGCTTAGTTCATCCTTATGCAACACTCTTTCTCTTCGTTTCAGATCAACCTTGAAGATTCTCAAGGACTCGAGAGAAGGTTGAAGGAGAAAGTTCGAAGTTGGCAAGTGAATCTACTTGAACTCCATTAAGTGGTATCAAGAGCTCGGTTCATCAAGAGATAAGTTCACTAATTCAAATCGGTGAATCTAGCTTGTTTGTTCATCATTTTGCTTCACATGTCTTGAGTATATTGTTGTCTAGATCTAATTATTAACACATCAATTGATAAATCTAGTTTCTGGATTGTTTTTAATGATTCATATATGATCATTGATTTGAATTTGCTTCATATGAATCATGCTTGAAATTGTGCTTTAGGATCCATACCTCGTGCATTTTCAATTTGTTTGAGTCTTGATTGATTTTTTAAATTTTTGGCCATATGCAAAATTTTGTTGAGTCATTTTAATTTTTGAATCTATCCAAGTATTGTCTAGAGTCATGTTTAGTCCTTTATATGTAAAAAATTCCTAGTAGTACTTGTTTACTGTAAAATTTTCATGATGCATGCATATAAACTTTGTTTTGGCCGAATGCAAATAAACCTTTGGTGATTTTAATTTTGATACATTTGAGTTCATAGATTACTATTTTATCACTAATAATCTTCTGGTAGAGATTATTCTTCCTCTGACGGTAAAAAACACAGGCTTATCATCTTGCTTGACTATGCATGCATCTTTGTTAAAGACTATTGTATAACCATTATCACAAAATTGATTTATGTTAAGTAGGTTATACTTTATACCTTCAAAATATAGAACATTACTTATAATAAGTATAAAGTCTTTACCTATCTTACCTATATCTCTGATTTTTCCCTTTCCGCTTCCAAAACAGGTTGGTTCTTCTTGTGGTTGGAAGTCTAGGAACATAGACCTTTTTCTTGTCATGTTTCGTAGCATCCATTATCTAGGTACCAATGTGAATCATTCCTTTTTCCCATTAAGGATATCTATAATAGCGATTATTTGACATTTTGGTACCTAAATGTTCTTGGGTTCTTTCTTGTTAGTCCCCATGCCCTTGGTCTTACTCCTTTATCTGCTTGGAGTTTTACCTTTATATCAATTAGCTTTATGGAAGGAAGCTTTGGGTTTGGCTCGAGATGTCCCTTATTTAATAGCATGTTCATCTTAGAAGATTCATCAACAAACTTGGCTAAGTTCTTCCTAAGTTGTTGGTTTTCATCCTCCAATTTTGTAACCTTAAGTGGGAGGATGTTGGTGATCTTGTCCTTGAGAGATTTTATCTCTCCTACTACATCATGTTCTTCCTCTATTCAAGATTTTCTTTTTCAAGAATATTTTATTTTTCTTTAAGTTTCTTTTACTCGAGGGAAATCATATGAGAGTTAGCCAAAGGAGTTTCATAGGACATCTCATCATCATCAAATTCAGAAGAGTAATAGCTTGAATCAGTTCTTACCTCAATGTTCATATCATTTGACTCAATGTCTGCCATGACGCATATGTTGGCTTTCTCATCATCTAAATTGCTACTACTATTATTGTCCAAACCTTCCCAAGTGGTCATTAGGCTCTTCTTTTTGGAGGATCACCTTTTCCTTTGAGATGGGAAATCAACCTTCATGTGACCAAGCTCCTTGCACTCGTAGCAGACTACCTCCTTGTCATTCTGACAAACCTTTCTATATCTCTCCTTATTTTTGTGGAAGTTTCTCATCCTTCCTTTCTTCTTCAACATTTCCTTGAACTTTTTAGACATGAAAGATATCTATCGCTTGTGGAGTTCTCAAAATTTTCATCTAAGCTATTGGACTCAAATTCTACCTTCAAAGTTTTCCCTTTCTCTCTTCTCTTGCTGGTATCGCCACATTTTAAAGTAATGGTGTCATTTGAATAAAGGTGGTCTCTACCATTCAAATGAATGTCGTGAACTCAAAGAGCTCCAACAAGTTCATCAAAAGTAAGAGTTTTCAGATTGTGTGCTTTTGAGATAAATGTGGCTTTAGGCTCCCAAATCTTTGGAAGGCTATCCAAGATTTTGAGATTTTTCTAAGCTTTGGAGAACTCAATTCCTAAGGATTTTAATTCATTTAGAAATTTTCAGAATCTTCTAAATATTTCGTCCATAGACTCACTCTCCTTCATGAGAATAACTCATAATGTCTCTAAAGTGTAGTAGCTCATCTAAGCCTTACATATTTAGTACCTTTAAGAGTTACCCTGATGGCATTCCACATTTCATTGGTCATTGAGCAACTCTAGAATTTGTTGTACTATATTCTAGACAAGAAGCAAGCAAGGATGTATCTTTCTTTGGTGTTGAGTTGCAACCTGTTGTAGTCTTCCTGAGTGTATTCACTCTCAAGCTTGGTAACAACAATATCACCTTGAGTGATGATTCTCCAGAAGTGGTATTGCATGGATTTAATGAACATCTTTATTTGATCCTTCCAATATGGCTAGTGTTCTCCATTAAAGGCATGAGACCTTGTGAGGTAGGCTCCTTCTAGTAGGTATTGTCCTTCACTACTTTCCATAGTGGATATTTTTCCTTTCGCAAGGTTAGATGCTCAACCCCATCAAAAGTTGATCTCCGATACTAAACTGTGAAAAAAGATAAACACTAGAACAAGGAGTTGAATAATATATATCAACAACTCGCATTTTTTTACATAGTGAAGTAGTAAGGCTAGTCAAATGAAGTGCAAAGAAAAGTCAGGTGGAACACTAAATATTTTTATATTGATTCATCTCAACCGCTGAGACTGCATCTAGTTCTCAATATAACCAAATTGAGTTCCACTATTTTTCAAGAAAGATATAATGATTCTTTTAACAAGACACTTTTGGCTCAATCCTAAGTATTCTTTGACTTACCTCTTCAAGAAACTATATACCTAATAAATCAAATTAAGTTGTTAAACAGGTTCTTTGAGTGACCTGAAGTTATCTATACCTGACCTAGGTTCAATAGGTCAAACTTTGTGATTCAGTAGGATCTAGCCACTTAAATTACTTACCTCTATTGTAGGAGATCTACATATTTGACATGTGTGGTAACACATTAATTGCTTATTATTGTTTATGTTGATTATGTTGTTTTGTTAAATTGTTAAGATATATTGTGATGTTGTAAGTTGTTGTGATGTTGGTATGATAATGATGTTTACAGTTGAAAGTTGATATGTGTAGTTGCATAAGATGTTGAGCGAGTTGTTTATGTTATATTGTTGTAAATTGATATTGTACATGTATGTTATTTTATTTTCACAAGCTTAACCTATGTTTTCCTTGTGGTTAGAATTATCATGATTATACATTATGAGAGTAGAGCAAAATTAGTAGGAGAGATTGGTTAGCTAGTGAAGGGTCACGTTGATGGTTGCCTAGTTTTGATTTGCTACTCTAAAGTAATATAGTCTTGTATAAACATTTGATTGACAATGAATAAAGTTTATTTATACACAATTATTCTTTTTTGTAGATTTTCTATATGTATAGGAACAATTTTAAGTTTCTTTTTATTTTTTGTGATATAATATTATATTATATTAAGTGTAATGACATATCATGTCGTTACGATCCACCCACTCACTTTATATGGGTTAACTTACTTTGCTACCTTTAATATTAGATCATTTTACTATCTCGTAAAATACTAAGTACTTCACACTAGAAGCTAGTTATTCCATAGTCGTGTCAACTTTTATCTTGAACTCCACTTTTTCGATTAATCAATTATTATTATATCAAAATAAAACTTTATTTCAATAATTTTATTGAAAAATAATTTTAAAATTTTTAATTTCATTTGGATAACAAAAATATCAGTTTTTTTTGTGTTAAATTAATTTTGGAAGAAAAAAAATGTTAAGAAATAATCATAAACCTTAAATTTTCATATTCTAAAAAGCAACATATTTTCAAAAATAAAAAACTGTTCACAAATATAAAATATTTTGAAAACAACTAGCTTATTTCACAAATAATTTTTTTAAATGACTGAATTTTGGAAAATAATCTTTCTCAAACACAATCTTAAGAGTATGTGTTTGTTTTGTAGTTACAAGTTCCGTTCCAAAGAAATTACAAGTTCTTGCTTCCTATTTTTAATGCTTTGAAAAATGGAAATTTGCGTTTGCATGATGCCAACCGAATTTCCAATCACACTTCAAGTAGTAGAGATCTGGTTCTTTGAAAGTTGCACTTGTCGACGACCCAAAAAGAAGGCTGTCACTATCCAGAAGAAACATACCTATGGAAAACGGAAAAGTTACACATTAGTCATGCCTTTATTAAACAAAACAAATATTTACTAGTAACGGGCAATAATCACTATTTGGGTCAACAGGTTTTGGGTTTGATATTAATCGGTACTATCTTGGTCGTTATGACTATCAATTTATTAATAACTAATCATTTTTCTAAAATTATGCTTAATAAGAAAATATTAATTATCAAAAAACTATATCATTTTATCTTCTCCAATCTTAATAAAAAGAAAAAAAAATCATTTTCAGATTTAATATTTTTTTCCAAAAAAAGTAATTAATTAATGGTATAATAGGAAAAATAATTAATGCAAGAGACAATTAGAATAAGATTTTATTGAAAAAAAGACAACAAAGTAACAAAAATTGCTGATGACAGTTTCTCACACTCATACTACCACTCTAATTGGATAAAATTTATTAAAAACTATAGAGAGAGATTCACCAATAAGGGAAGAGCCACACTGAGATTTTGAATAAATTTCAACCAGTAAAAATTAGTATTCAATAGAGTGTATTCCTAACTTCTCTCAAAAAAAAAAACAATAAAAGAAAGAAAATCCTATATATAATAAGGACAGAAGTAGTATTTCTTTATTTTTTATTTTTACGTTCGTCAAGCCAATAAGAGAATATTTGAGAGAGAGACGGACAGTATGTTAAAGTTTAAACATACAGGCAGGCCATGTAAGGAAACTGTTGATGGGTTCCCGTTGACAGTACCAAAAAGCATTTTGTACATTACAGCTGCCGCAGCATCCCCAAGTCTTTGAACCAAGACATCTATGCATACCTGCGTCAGCATGTTGTAGGTCAAGTGTTGCCTCGACAAAAATTTGGCCATTGAATAATTAGTTCACTATATGTCGCTACTAAAATATCCAAGAATTATTGAATGTTTAATAATTTTATTGCAGTGAAGCCATTGGTTGGCTCTAAATTGAAAAGGACGTGATTGAATAAACTTCATTAGCACTTCTAAATAAGGAAAAATAGAAAGAAAAATTAAAATAAGCATCTCCGTAAATTAAAACTAGCCTATGCATTAGTTAAAAAATAAGATTTTGAAGAAACAATAGTAGATAACTTCTTCAAAATATATTATGCATAAGCTAATTTTGACTTACGGAAAAACTTATTTCACTTTTCTTTCTTATTTTTGTCTCCTAAAAATACTTCTAAGGAAATTCACTCAAACAAGTCCTTCGTGTATGTGCTTCTACAAAACCAAGACATTATCTACAAAGATTACAGGAAGAAAGGAAACAGAAGATGATCATACTTTGGCTTTATACTTCTCGTCCTCTGATACAACGGTAAATAAAAGTTCTCTTCCAGGCCTTGTCACAACATATGTAACAACCTGCAATGTTGTCAAACATGAACATGATCGTGAATACACAAAAGCGTGACGATAGTTATTAATTAATTTAATCAACAATTTTCTGTTTGATATCGCAAGCAGCAGCAGGTCACAAGACTTATATGAATTTCTACAAAAGATGAATGCAATATAAATTCTTTGAGAGAAAGAACAGAGAAGCATATGCCGAATAAAAACAGTAATACAAATTCCTAAATAAATACTATATTTCAATTATACAATGAACCTAGATATAGGACTCCTGAGTTGCAATAATTACATTATAGATCCGATGACCGATTGGTAGATACATTCACCAAATCTCTCAACGACTCTCGAGTTGATGACATTTATAACAAATTGGGCTCATATTGAGGAGGAGTGTTAAATATATGATTTAATATGATTTCTTTGTAATTAGGGAAACTTGTATAGTAGAAATTAGAGATTCTACTCATTATTACTTATTATCTTTTATTTCCGTATTTCTTTATTTTGTATCCATATTCATTATAAATAGAGGATTACATGTGTTATAATAAACACACATATTCTCAGTATTTCTGCGGATTCTCAGTATTTCTGCGGATGGTAATGAAGCTTTGTGTAAGCTAAAGTACCATTTTCTAAGAGCTCAGGGTAGAATAAAAGGAAGAATAAAAGCCCACGCTGATAATAAAAGGAAGAAGAGCTTGAACTAGGTGAATGGGTTTTCTTGAAACTGAGACCACATGTATAGCAAACTGCTGGCACTCGCACCACTCCAAAATTAGCTCCTCAATACTATGGCCCGTCTCAGGTGATGAGAGGGTATTGGGGCTGTGGCTTACAAGCTTCAGCTGCCTAAGTCAGAAGGATTCCCCATGTCTTCCATGTGTCCTTACTGAAGAAAGTTGTGGGCAATCACAGGATGGAAGATGAGTTGCTTAAAGGTTTGGAGTGTGACAATCCAATGACTTTGGAACCAGTTGTAGTGTTGGTTACAGGTGTGATTAGTATTGGGAAAAACCCAAGTCCCACATCGACTAGAGATTAGGCAATTAAGTAGTATATAAGTGGAAAGCAACCCTCACTTTACAAGCTGGTTTTGTAGGGTTGAGTTACCATTCATTGATACATGCATCATGGGCATGAGGGGGTGTATTTCAAGTCCCGCCAATCCTAGATCATTGAAAAAGGGCCACCTACCATTTATGCACGATTCCACATACCAAGCCCAATAGTGTTGGACGTGAGGGAGGTGTATTGGGAAAAACCCAAGTCCCACATCGACTAGAGATTAGGCAATTAAATAGTATATAAGTGGAAAGCAACCCTCACCTTACAAGCCGGTTTTGTAGGGTTGAGTTAGGCTTAATCCACTATTCTAAGAATTAGTAAAACATCCCGTCTTGTATCATAGAATGTTAGATAGTTGTTTGTAATAGTCAGCTTTATAACTGAATTAGTTAGCGGATGACAGCTAACTAATTCTATAAATAGTTAACTTTGGCATAAAGAAAGATAGGCTGATTTTTTGGATAACAATTGTAATTCTTTCTCTCTGTCCAGTAATAAAGTCTCGAGGTTCTTTCTTTTATAGAGCTTCCTGCAATTTGAGATTCTTCAAACATTGTTCCTAGTATCTTGTGTTCAATTAGTTACTGTAACAACTGCTCAGAAAAGGGACTTTGTTATTTCTGTGATGATCCTTTTACGTATGAACATAGCCTGACACACAAGAAACTTCAGCTACACATGGTGGAGATTGATAAAGAGGAGGATGATGAGACATTACAATCTGAGACAATGGTGAATGACACTGATTTTGGGGATCTACATATTTCTGTAAATGCTTTGATTGCGGTGCAAGGGTTCAGAACTATGAGTGTAACAGGAAGCTACAAAAAGAAACCCTTACACATTTTGATTGACAGTGGTAGTACACATAATTTCTTAATGTTGATATAGCTAAGAAATTAGGGTGTAGGATTCAAGCTATGAAGCCTTTACAAGTAACTGTTGCAGATGGTAGTAAAATGAAGATTGAAGCAATTGTGAAGGAATTTAGCTGGTTTTTACAACATAATAAATTCCAAGCTGATATGATGTTAATTCCTTTGGGTTGCTGTGATATGGTGCTTGGAATTGAATGGTTGGTGACATTAGGAGACATTGTTTGGAACTTCAACAAATTAAAGATGGAATTTACTATGGCTGGTAAAAGACATGTGCTTAGGGGTTCTACCCAGGGCAATGTGAAACTAATCAAGAATCAACAGATGGAGAAAACAATCCTAAATGGAGTACATTTGTCCATGATTCAAGTTTGTAATGATGAGGGAATATTGCTGCAAAATCTGACAACACATGCTAGCCAAACATCTACTCCTGCACTAATTTCAGAATTATTGGATCAATTTGAGGATATATTTGAAGAGCCTACTCAATTACCTCCTATGAGAGAAGGGTTTAATCACAAAATTCCCTTGTTACAAGGTACAAGTCCTGTGAACAAAAGACCTTACAGATATGCAGGCAATCAAAAAGACATTATTGATAAGCTTGTTCAAGATATGTTGGCTTCTGGTATGATACAAAACAGCTGCAGTTCTTATGCAAGTCCAGTAATCCTAGTTGGTAAAAAAGATGGATCTTGGAGATTATGTGTTGACTACAGAGAACTCAACAAAGGGACAGTTGAGGATAGGTTTCCAATTCCACTGGTGGAAGACCTTATGGATGAATTGAATGGCTCAGTCATTTTTTCAAAAATTGATTTGAGAGCAGCTTATCATCAAGTCAAAATGGAACCTGCGGACATACATAAGACTGCCTTCAAAACACCGCAACAACATCAACCTCAATTATACATCAATCATTCACCCAAAAACCTCTAACAACATCATAGAAGTCAGCAAGAGGCATGAAATTAGTGAAACCCCAATCAACTCTCACGAGCTTTGAACTGATGCTATGATTCTGCAATATGCAACTCAATTAACTCTTTTATAATAAAAGAAGAAAAGAGAAGAAATACAACACAAATAAGGATAAATATTCCTTAAAGAATGAGAGATTTTACAGAGGCAAAAAAAAAAAAACTACCATTCAACCTGCCATCAGACAGCTAAACTACAATCAAGCAAAATGTCAATAACTAATGGGAAACAATATTATAATTGAGAACAGATTGGGTTCATCTCAACTCTGAAAGCTTGTCTGAAGGGAAAAGGATGACTCAAGTCATTAAAAAGACCATTGCAACCATTATATGCCTAAATAAAAAGCACCCAGTCTTGAAAACAAGAACACACAAGTTCAAGAAAGAACCAGGACACAGACAGAGGAATCAAAAACAGCAATAAGGACAACAAAGGAGTCCAATCTCATTGCACTCCAAACATAAGAAAATAAGAATTAGAGATATTGAAAAAAGACTCGAGTTCAACTCAAAATCAAAATCAGAGAAGCGAAAGCATTCCACAATCATCTCTGAATTGAAGAGAAAACAAAAGAAAAGAAACACAAAAGACATAGGAGGCATTGGGTGCGGAGAAATAAAGAAATTTCAGATTACAAAGAAAAGAAAAGAAAAAAATCAAACAAATTTGAACAGAAGTGAGAGGGGGAGACAAGCATTCAGAGAGGCAGACAAACAAAGCTCGAAAAAATATAAATCAATTGGAGTGAGTGACATTATAAATAAGCTCGCCTCTGCCTTAAATTTAAAGTTTAAAATAAAAGACATTTATTCCTAGTCTAATCTAGTTAACCTAATTATCAATTAAAAACAAAGAAAAAAAGCCAATATTAATTATACAATATGAATTTTTTAAAAAAAATAGTTATGTTATAAAGATTTTATAATAATTTTGTTAAAAAGTTATATTCTAAGACAAGGATTGTGATAGTGTTTGAATAAGAGAATTCATGTAACAAGTAGTTGGTTTTTCAGTCTTACAATATCGGTTATGATAGGCTGTTTAACATTTTTTAGTTGGCCTATGATTGGTGTGTGTGGTGCATTAAAATGGTCCCTTCATAAATTTGAGTAAAATGGGGAAAAATGTTTTACGTGATGCATGAGGCTTTACTAATGTATTTGGTTCTGTGTACAAGAAATCCTATGAATGTGCTAGTTTTTCGGTAGTACAAATACCAATAGGAACACGAATATGATATAATACAGCTAGCAGAATACAGCTATTTAAAAGTACATGGCCAGCATTGATATAACAGAATTATCCATATCATATTAAGTCATTGCTTCCTAAATCTTTCACAACGTTTTTTTTAAATTATTAAAGAAATTAATTTTTCCCACATTTTAATTTATTTTATAAATATGATAAAAATATATATTTATATATTTATCTTTTCTGTTTTTTCTTTATTTTATATATTTTTTTTCTATTTCTATTTTTTATTTTTTAAACGGGTGGCGCTATGGGCTATAGCGGCACAGTGTCGCTATAGGCCATAGCGTCACTTTCACAAATTCTTTTTTTTATATTATTTACTTATATTTTTTTAAAACTGTCTTTTTTATATTAAATATGTGGCGCTGTAGGCTATAGCGACTTCAGTGAAGCTGTTTTGTGTCGCTATAGGCTGTAGCGACATTATCAATATGGCTTTCATGGCTTGCTGGAGTTATAAAAATGCCACGTGTCACCGGTGTCGCTATGGCCCATAGCGACACCGTTAAAAAGTGCCCCAAAGGTGTATATTATTTAAAAACAACCCCATTTACGTAAATAAGTTTGGGAACTGCCCCAATATGGTCAATCAGCCGGTGTAAAATGCTTTAAAACAGTCTTAGATTGGTAAGAAGTTTTCATAATAACACCAAATGAGTCAAAAAGTCGTGATTGAATCAAATGAAATTGAAAATTGAGAAATCCTACGATAATTTTGTATGTGTTAATAAGAATCGAATTCATTGACTATTCTCTAAATTGATGAATTGATTGACTTTTTCAACTCATATTTTTCTTGATTATATTAACATATTCTCA